CCCCCCCCCCCCCCCCCCCTTGTAAGAAGAAACAGCAGCACTAAGTTTCCTCTCAGCCTACAATGACCTGCATGCAGAACTCCATTCTGATGAGCCTTCACTCTTCTCAGATGGCTGCTGTTGTGGCTCGCTGCTTACAGCCTGGAGGACTGGTTTTGTTGAGCTCAGGTGTTTCTTTGTATCTCAGTATCAGGTTTAGCAACACGTCTTCCTGTAGACTTTGTTTAGCCGCAGGCTGGACTAGCACATCTTTTAGTGTCTCAAGTTATTTTTCATATTTAGCTTGTATTTAAAATTTAAATGACCAAGTAAGACTTCCTTATTGTTGGTCACACTCAAAATCAGCATTAACCAAGTAAACTAACTTTAATTAGTGTCTAATAGGATTTCTAATAGTTCCAAAAGTAATAGACTGTACGATTATTTTCTAAAATTGATTTTAAAACAAAGTACTGATGCTGAATGTATGTAAATCTAGGCTATTCAGATATTGATGACACATAAATATTGCGGTACAAGCTCTGTTTCATTCCTTTTGATGAAAGTCAAAGCTGAATTAAAAAGAAACGATTTTCATTCCACTTTGACTCCAGTTTAGTTCAAACCGTCACAAGTGGAACTCCGAGCTTTTAAATACCCCGCAGCGAAAGAAAGAGCGGAGGAGACGAGGCTCTCATGAAAGCCGAGGGGAGAGAGGACAGGTTAGTCCTGTAAGGGGAGGAGCCCACGTGATCAACACACCTGTAGGCGCGTCTCTTTGTATCTGAGCGCGCAGTGCAGCGCGCGCCTAGGGTGTGTAGTTTGTGTACATCACGTCAGCGTACTGTCCTCATCAGGATCACACGTTCATGATACCAGGTGGGTAAACTTCACCATTATTAGCGGATATAGAGCGTAGCGAGAGACAGATGAACTGTATCTACACATTACAGCTCGAGCTGCTTTAAGAACAATTGCATTGGTGTAGAGATAGCAGGTCAAGTAACGCAATCTTTAAACAGTCTTATTTGGTTGAGCAGTTCGCTGCGTTCTGTTTTCACAAATGTCTGTTGTAGCTCTTTTTCTTTACAGCGATGACGTCATACATGGCTATTTTCAAAGGCTTTCTTTCAAATGTGAAACATAGATATTTGATTAGCATTTCTTTATTTCCCTGTTGTGTGGACTGTTTGTAACTTGAAATGATTTTGAATGTAACTATTAAATAGTATAGTTACACTAGAGACTACCCCAGCTCTGTTATTAGACTGTTATTAGACTGTTATTAGACTGTTATTAGACTGATCATCTGCTCTGTTTGTGAACACAGACGGTCTCAGTTTGTGCTCCAGTATCTCCGCCCCCCACTGCTGCTGCTGCGTTTCACCACAAACAAACCTGAAGCCAGAAAGCAGCGGCCCTCCTCTTCTCCTCCAACAGACAGCAGCTCACTGCTGAAGGTAGATATCAACACATTTGATTTGAATGAAGCAAGCTATTAATCACACATTAAATGTGCATATGGTGCGTTATCATCTTCCCACATATAAAAGTAACAATTTAACATGAAAACAATAATTACCAGAATACGTCACCCAGAATGTTGACATGTTGGTTTCTGTTTCTAACCTTGATACTTGTTTAGTAATAACAGAAATGTGTCCACAGCACATAGTAATAAAACAGTTGTTTCACATGACATTTGATCTATTTGACTTCTTTTGTGAGGAAAAAAGCTTTTGTAGGAAAACATTTTGACATTTTTCAAAGTAAGTTTTACAAACACTGTTGTTTTGGTATCGATACCAAAACTTGTCCTATTGGCAAAACAGGCAATACTCAGTCAGTACCAGTACAAAACCATCTAATATGTTTCAAGTGCTAATTCATGTGAAAGGTCTGCACAACATGACAACAACATCAACTCTTTGATAGATCATCTGAATCACCTTCAGGTACCTGCATCATCTTCTCATTGGTACCCAATGGTATCTGTGTGTGTATATTAGAGAGATTGTTGCTTGGGTTGTTACAGAAGTGTGAATATTAGCATCAGATGCTCCTGTACTGAGTTTGGTGGTAAATCTGATGGATGATTGCTGCATTCTGGCACCACAAGGACGCTGATCGGACTCTGATATTGATTATACTATAAAAGTCACGTTTCTTATGTTTTTGCCAAATCGGTAGTTGTTTGATTTTTATTTATATATATATATATGTGTCTTTGTTTAGCAGGGTGAGCTCCAGTTGGATTTCAGTATGCCGATCAACAAACACAAATCCTCAGGGCACAAGCCAAGTGGAAGCAAACAGTAAGTTGGCCTCCATTTATCCCTCACTGCTGCCCACTACTGCCCTGTCCTCCTCATGTCTCAGCCACTGTATGTGGTTTTACTCTTCAGATACTTCTGCATTAGCTGAGCAGCATATTTGTTTGCACCGGATCCGGACCCAGGAACTAAAAACCAATAGATAATTCGGAATTATACATATTGGGAACCGAGTTAAACTTTAACCGGCGCGTCTTATCCAGCCGTTGCGGCATTTGTTCGGCGGTGCAGGAAAAACACGACCAATGCAGTGCAAATCACATCAGGTGATGCAGCTCAGCCAATCAAATTCTGACAGGTTTCCTGACTCAAGCGAGGTTTACACACACGGGACACACGGGGCTGAGACGAGGACATAGAAAGAAGAGCAGGAACAATGTGCCGATCGAAGAAGTTATGTCACATGACGTTCTCCAAAAAGAGAAACGTGTTCAGAGAGAATATAATTTATGAGCAAGAATGAACAGAATCTTATTTGTTAATTCTTCCCACAGGCAGTTAAATCCTCTACTCCTGTCAAGCGCTTTTCCCTGCAGGTGGCGTATCATGATTTTCAGCCCCCGCCCTCTGTAAACTATCCATGGATGAATCCAAAAAAAGAAAAGTCACGGAGGAAAACAGAGAGTTTAACTCTGCGTGGACGTCTTCATTTGCTTTCACTGCCAACGATGCTGGCTTACTGTATGCTTCCAGAACAAGCACACAGCATGTGCTGAAAAGTGTCACGCTGGAGATGATTTCTGAGCTGCTGCAGCAACCTCTCCTCTTCATAAGAGGTTGATATTGTTATATCAGGTAAAATTGCAAAAAAACGTCAAGAATTGTCTTTATTCTTGTTCTATATTTTCATAAATACAACAAACTATAGTTTTTCAGAAGAATTTTATTTGGTGGAAAATAGGGCAAAATGGCTCTTTGGATAGAAAAGGTTGCCGACCCCTGCGATAGTCAGTCAAGTGGACCTGACACGTCCAACAGGGATGCAGGAGGGGTACCTCAAGCTTAGGGCCACTGAACCAGCTCTGGTGAGGAGGAGGGAGTGAGACTGTGTTGAAAACATCAAGCAATCATCAGATCTCTGGGTCTGGAATAGAGATCATGTGGATAGGGTACATAAAGCCACAACCATTAATTGATCGTCAGAAAATCCATTGGCAACTATTTTGATAATTGATTCATCATTTAAGTCTATTTTAAAGTGCTTCCATCTTCTCAAATATGAGCATGTGTTGCTTTTCCTTTTCCTCTGTCGTATAGATTGAATATCAAAACAAGCACTTGATGACCTCACTTCCTGCTCTAGGACAGTGTGATGGACATGCTTCACTATTTTCTGATGGACGACTAATTTAAATATCTGCAGATTCATTGAAAATGAATATAGTCTTTAGATACAGGTTAAGGTATTGTTGTAGTATATTTTATGCAAGTGGTCTCCACATATGTAACACTATTACCCTGCAGCATGACATCTCTTTTGGGGGGAACATCCTTCTCTTTGCCTCTCAGCTGTTTTTAATATTGTGTTTGAGCTGATGTTGTCACATGTTGTTCCACGTGGGTTCACTTCACAAAGCATTCACATTACTCTCTCTTAACAAAGCTGCCATGTCAACCACATAGTTCAGTATCCAAACATCTGTCCAGGTGCAGCAGCTCTGATGAAAGGCACTTCTGATGTCACTGGTTTGAAGATCAGCCGCCCCGTCTCCTCACTCCAAATTCTTTCACGAGTGACTTCAGGACATTTTAACATCATATGTTTAAAGCATATTGAGAATTGCATCATATGAATGTCCCTTGTTAAAATATGCCCTTATGACTGCAATCTCCTCTTCCATACTTTAAAACGCAGTTTAAAACGTGTGTAAGGACACTGCTGAGAGCCCTCCACAGAGTCCTTCACAGAGTCTGTTGTGTTAAACAGCTCCACTGTTCTCTTCTATTGCAGCCACAAGAGCGGACACAGGCACAGTGAGCTCAAGTCTAACCCAGCCTTTTCCTACTACCAAGGAGTGGAGATGCTTCACTTCTACCGCTGGACTTCACCACCTGGAGTAATGAAGATACTCGGTATCATCATCATCATCATGTGTGTGGCTATGTTTGCCTGTGTGGCCTCCACACTGGCCTGGGACTACGACATGAGCCTCATGGGTTTGGGAGGTGGTGGTAGCTTGGTGCCAGGTTATGGCGGCTCATCCGGTGGCTTGTACGGTGGCTCATACGGTGGCTCATACGGTGGCTCTTATGGCGGCAGTTATGGGAACACGTATGGAGGCGGCTCTGGCGGCGGCAGTGCTGGCTCCTATGGCTATGGAGGATCACAAATGAGTCCCGCAGCCGGCAAAGGCTTCATCATCGCCATCTCGGCCCTGACCTTCATAGCTGTGCTCATCATATTTGTGTTGGTTGTTTCGAGGCACAATACTTCCCGCTCACCAAAGTTCTACCTAGCAACCATCATCATCTGTGCCATCCTGGCATTTCTAATGGTCATCGCTACTATCGTGTACCTGGTGTCGGTGAACCCAACAGCCCAGTCTACAGGGTCTATCCAGTACAGCCAGGTCCAGCAACTGTGTGCCCAGTATCAGACCCAGAGCCAGGCCCAGGGCATCTTCCTCAACCAGTACCTCTACCACTACTGTGTGGTGGAGCCCCAAGAGGTGGGATTTCACTTTCACTTTCACACTGCTGACCGTTTACCAACAAATGATTCTGTGTTCTACTGTAGCATCTCTAATGTTTACCGTACTTACTTATTATTAGCATAGGTTTGTCATTTTGGAGGTATTTCGGTGAACTGACCCACTAACATGGAGCCAGTGGCTGTTTGCTCTGTGGACTCAGATCCAGTATTGATACGTTTGAGTCGTGTGTTCGCTCCCACCTCCAGACGTCCCTGTTATTTACTATCTTAGTGGATGTGATGTCGGCCCACTGACATGGAGTCCTGTTGTTCTTGCAGGCCATAGCGATCGTCCTGGGCTTCCTGGTGTTTCTGGCCCTCATCATCATGCTGGTGTTTGCAGTCAAGACTCGCACCAAGATCAGGCGCTGGGGCCAGGACCGCATACTCTGGGAGGAAGTGAAGGTTGTCAATAATGGTCTCCACAACAGCGTCGGGGAGTGGGTGAGTGTGTGATCAACTTAATCTGCCTTTATTCAACAAACTAAGACTAAACTAAGTACATCAGGTCAGGCTAATTACAGATAGTCATTTAAACTGTAAAACACAGTGCTTGAAAATACATGGGGACTAAGTGTAAGTATGTACTTTTAAAGTGGTCATTTTAAACACTCGATTGGGTAATCAACATTCAATCCAGTCCTGTGTTAATGTATCAAACCCCATTTAACACCTCTGGGTCAGAGTTTCATACAGCCTCAATGAAGAGTGGAACAAGATGTATAACAGCTACTGAAGGGGAAGTAAAACAGGAAAAGTGGACGTGAAGAAGGAGGAGGAGATATACTTGCTCACGCATTCTCCTAGACTAAAGCCTGCGTCATTGATGGAATTATTCATGGGCTTGTCGATGTCCCACACTTGTTACTGGAGGATTCCTCTAGAGGTCACCACATAGAACTCACACTATATCGGGTTCATTTATGGGGAAGTGAACTACTAACGCTCCAAACAGATGCAGGATACACAAGTCAGCCATCATGCGCACACAAGTGTATCTCTGGATAAACGTATCTTTCCATCGCCGTTGTCTGTCTCTTTATAGTGTGATGAGAATTAGACAAGAAACTGTAAAATGCTTTTTATTTTTACAAAGATGTTTGTAATCTGTAAACAGACTTAAGGACGTACATAGAGACTTGAAATACACAATATATTTTACTTCAAGGAAGTGGGCACAGACTCTTACCTACTTGTTGTGGCACATTCTTTCAGAGAGTGTAATGTGTGTGTGTGTGTGTGTGTGCGTGTGCGTGTGTGTGTGTGTGTGTGCGTGTGTGTGTGTGTCAGTCAGGTGAGACGTAGGGCAGGGAGGGATGGTTTCATTTGCAGTTTCTGGGTGTGGTCTGTTGGGCCACTCTTAGCTGCAGCAGGATGTGTTGTAAAAATAAAAAGTCATCCAACAACTATTAGCACCAACAACATCTAAACAACATTCCTGATGAGTAGATGTACAAAAGAACAATAGAACAAATCTGTGTTCTTACGTTTCCAGTAACGACTCCTCGTGGTTTGTGTTTTGAGGACAGTGACACAAATGAAAGTGTTCACCTGAAAACCAATTCCACACCTGCATAGTTACCATTCCAGGTGTGAGACCTTTCCCAGCAATGACATCTCAGCAGTTGTACTGACTGAGAGACGTTGTCTCGGGCTTCCTGTTGACGGTCGTGATGGTATCGGTGATATTCAAGCCTGCAGCGTGAAGTAGAGGAACTGGTTGGTCCTGGTGACTGCTGCATGCAGCCACAATGTTTATCCTGTGGAGAGCACAAGGTGCTGTAGTAATCTAAACCTCAGGCAAGCACACTTCTGTCTGAGGAAATAGATTTTAACAATGGCTTTCTTTGTAATTGCTGACTCATGCAGAACAAAAAGCCCATCGAGTTTTTCAAATCTAAAACTGCTGTGTTGTTATAACTATTATATAAATGATTAGAAATAATAGATATAATAGAACCACAGTGAAATTAAAGAATGCAGGTTTTGCATGTGCATACAGACACTAAATATGTTCACTTGACACGACAAAGTGTAAAGTGATTTAAGTATTTTACAGTGTCAGGGTGTGACATGGTGAAAAAGTCTAACAATAATATATTTGCCCTATAATAACATGGATGTTAAATATACTATAGATATATTACTTGGTGATGTATATTGCACTTTCATTAAGTTGTGAGAGGCAGTCAAAAATAAAAGAAGCTGAAGGTCAGACATCCTCACATTTATCTTGAGGCTCAAGCTCCAAAAACACTGGAGACACTTCCCATAATGCATTAGACAGTTAGACCCTCTTCATTACAATCTCCATACATGTGTAACCGACTTGGACTGGGCACTGAAGGACACAACTCAGGGGATGCTTTAACAGCATTTATCTGCTGCAGAAAACAGTACAACACACACAACATCTGGTGTCCCTCTGCACCTCTGCTCCCTCAGCAACACAGAACACCATGTCAGGGATAAAGAGAAGCAGCGACATCTAGTGGACAAAAGAAACAGGTGCATGGTGTGGAGTGACTTAACAGAACCCGCGGAAATGATTACATTAAACAGGAAAATACACACCTGCAGAAAACAGTACAACACACAGAAATTGACATCTGGTCTCATTCTGCACTTCTGCTCCTAAACATGCAAAACAACAGAAGTTACACCGGGAGCGACCGGCGAACTCTCTGCGTCACTACGTCTGTTCTTTATATGACGGGGCAGCCTGACGTAAAAGCAAATGGCGCCAAAAAGGCTAAGCGAAACAGCCACAAGAGCTCTACATTAACACGTAACAGCTAGATAGTGTGACCGGCTTAGCAGTTACTATAGTGCGGAGCGTAAAGTTTCATTCCCGAAGAAACCCACAAAACAGTGCAACAACTTTCTTACCCTCAGCAACACAAAACACCATAGTGAGGGGAAGACAGGACTATTAAATATATCAAATAACGCGAAATAAAAATAACTCATTAAGATACAATTGACATACTCAACAGAATCGTTAAATGACAAACAAAATTAAAATCGGAAATAAGAAATAATAAAGTCCATGTTTAACTCTGTTACACATGCTCACTCCTCGCCCAAGCTCTGATGACATCATCAGGGTTATCTTCTGAGACAAAGCTCCTTCTGAGCTACAGGAGACAGGCTCATCACTATTAAACTGATCTTTATCTCTGTCCTTTTAAGAACTAAAGTCGTATGAAGTTTGATCAAAACTAAGCTTGGAACGATATCTATCTCTACGGTGACATGTTTTCTGTCAAACTCGAATGAGCTCGAATAACTGACCTTTTCTGTTACTTCAGGTGACCAATGTGTCTGGTGACCCAGAGTCGCTGGTGAAAGACGCTAATCCCATAGTGAGAGGGTCCAGAGACTATGTGGACAAGCTGGACCACAACAGGCCTCTTTACCTGCCAGGGTAAGCTAAGCATCATGAGGTGCACCTCCTGAGGTCCTTTAGACTTCCCTCACCTTGAGATGAAGCCAATGAGTTCACTGGAGGTTTTTGTGAACTCAGTCTGCTCTGAGCTTTTTCCAAAGGTCGGCTAACCTGAACGGATATGAAGGGACAAAAGCAAAAGAATCAAATGGGTCAGAGTAAAACAAGACGTCCATTCTTTATATGAATATTAACAGTGAGGAATACGATGATACGGATAGGTCCAGATAAATAGGATGGCCATCACTCCGTTATGTACTTTACACTGTTAAGTGTAAAGTACATACAGCACAGTAAAGTGTGTTTAATCTGTGCAGAAAATATGTACAAAAAATAAAGCACACACACATTAGCTATGCAGTTAAGACTGTAGAAATGATTTGAAAAATAAATGTTGTAAAATGCAGAAGCTAGACGTGATTGACTTGACTGGAGAACTTCTAGAGTTGAAGAACAAAAATGTGATCTTGTATGTTGAAACTTTCACTTCTAGAAAGAAAATAGTCACAAACATATTCTGAATGTGAAGTCACAGAAAGAATATTCACACATTTGTAGATATATATCTACATATAAATACAATGACAGCTGCAAACTTGTGATGCAATATTCACTCTTTGTGGGTGTTGTTAACAGGGTGAACCAATCAGAGATCTGGAGACATGCTCTGCTCTGGCACATGGTCAGGGTAGTGTTAGGACCGCCCCCTCTTCATTGGTCATTGTGTTCTTAGCAGACTAAGATTTTTGCGATTAGTCTTTTTTTTTATGGTAAATGGACTCTACTTGTATTTCTCTTTTCTAGTCTTCTGACCAGTCAAAGCTCTTTAACACTACGTGTCATCGTTCACCCTTTCACACACATTCACACACTGATGACAGGAGCTACCATGTACACCTGCTCATCAGGACCATGTGCTGAATACTTATTTCTAAGAAACTTATGAGCACATCATTGATACACACGATTCAGAGCGGTGCATCGGTTTGATTCTTCTTGGAGGAACTCGGTTTTAAACTCAGTGGTCAACAGAGCGGAGAGGTCCAGCTGTGAATGTGTGTAACTGCCGTCAGCTGAATTGAACTGGATAAATACCAGAATCAGAAATCTAAATCACAAACACAGAAACAGATTTATTGACAAAAAATCATTCTTATAAAAGGCAAAACAGTCAAACTATACAAAGTAAGATAAAAAATATGCAAAGTGAGGGAAAACTAATATAAGATTGAAGTGAAGTGAAGAGAGCTGTGCAATGTTTAAAACACAGAGATGGAATGTACACAGCACTGACTTAGGAAAGTCAAAGACATCGCATAAAAAATATACGCAATGTTCAAATAATGATGCAACACTTCTGTTAATGTAGCACATCAAGTCAGATGTTGAGGCTTCACAGATATGCAGATAGAACACTAAACAACGCTGTGATGGAGGTGAAATGTATAAATCAATGATTCCTTCTGCAGAGACTCAGACATCAGCAGCTCTGTGGGAGGCCTGCAGCCCAGGCTGAAGGACTACGACCCTGCTGTAGAGTCTGGAGATGACCTGGAGGAGGAGGAGGACTTCTATGTGTGAGTGGATGTGACGGGATCTGATCGCCAATTATGATTACGAAAAAGCTGCATTAAGCTTCTTTTTTGTTACAATGGTTTTTGATGGCAGTTGGTGTGCATTTCTTTACCTGAACTCCATCTTCTGTGTACACTAACCAAATGTATTGCTAGTAATGGCTAGTTGTCACATGAAACCCTAATTTCATTCTGTGCTCATCTGCAGTTTGTTTCCTTCCATCGTGGATGAGCAAGAGCGTCTGAACTACAAGCGTGAATTTGACCAGGAGCACCAGGAGTACAAGAGCCTGCAGGCTGAGCTGGACAGCATAAACCAGGACCTGGCTGACCTGGGTAGAGACCTGGACCAGCACCGCGAGGGCAGTCCACAGTTCCTGGTGAGTGTGGCAGGACCAGTTAGTCTACGCTTCTCCAGAGGACTCATGTACAATGTGTGCTTATGATTACAAATATAACTAGGTTAAGATAAAGATAAGAAAGTGGTCAAGTGATGAGAACATGGATAGGAAAATGATTCCTAATTCCCTGGTTATGAGTTTTAAATGTTGTTTAACCTTTATCTAGGACTACAGACACAAAGTCAGCCTTCTTAGTGCTTCAGCCTAGCCATTGACCACCATCTTTGTCTTTGTACCCTCAGGATGCCATGGACGAACACACCAGACTGAATAATCTCAAGAAGGTAAGGCGTCTGCAGTAAATGCAGTGTTGTTCTAAACAGTCCTCTGAAAATAGAGAAGGTTTTGGTGAATAACATTGAATTGTTTTGCAGTCCCCAAACTACCAGATTAAGAAGAAGAGGTGTAAATATCTCCGCTCCAAACTGTCACACATCAAAAGAAAGATCAGCGAATACGACCGCCGGCCATGAACCTCCACCTCTGACCCCAGCGTGCACGGAAAGAGACTCATTTGTCTTTCGGTACTTTTTGTTCTTATTATGGACCTTTGTCGTTGTGGGTGTTACGAGGAACGGCCCAAGTGTAAATAAATGAGGGCTTGGTCCCCTGAAGGTTGTCTTCTAATGTGATGAATTTCATTTCTGATTCTTATTCAAAAGCAAATGAACAAATCTTTCCACCTCATCAATATATATTTACTCCACACATGTTCAACTAATGTAATTCATGCTTGTTGGACTGTTTTCCTGAACTGATGAATGCATCGTGGTTTGGTGTGCGATTAAGTTATATCTGTTTGTTATACGTAAGCAGGAATGTAAGATTTCAATAAAGAAAAGTTAGTTATTAATAAGCTCATTGCATTACTGTGTTTGATATAACATCTTAACATGGGTTCCACCTCATGGTAACTGTGCTGGTATTATACTAGTAGTACTAGTAGTAGAAGGGGTAATGTAATCAATACAAGTTGACCGAGGGCGGGCAGAGGAGCACACACATGTGGGAAGGTTCCAGGACAAGAGGATGTCAAATGTGTACATATTGTAAAGCCCTCTGAGGATAATCTGTAATTTGTGATTTTGGGCTATACAAAAATAAATTCAATTGAATTGAATGTAAAGTCTTGAATTTGTGGTCTAACTTTGCACCAGTTCAGTTGTAGCGGAGCACTTCAAGTTATCTTGAGGAACTCCTCAGAGTCCAGACTCCAAAAGTTCACAAGTCCGTACTTCTGAACTTGGGTATTGAGAAAGGCCCCTTAAGGACAGATGTTACAGCTGAGGAGACGAGCAGACAGATGTTACAGCTGAGGAGA